AAGAAACGAATTTTCGAAAATTTTCGCGCTTGCGTTATTAGGAGAACATGATTTGTAAAGAGGTCATCAACGCATCATCGACCTCCTCGCAAAATATATTCTCCTGATAATATAAATTATAAGAAACGAATTTTCGAAATTTTCACGCTTGCGTTATTAGGAGAACATGATTTGTAAAGAGGTCATCAACGCATGATCGACCTCCTCGCAAAATATATTCTCCTGATAATATAATTATAAGAAACGAATTTTCGAAAATTTTCGCGCTTGCGTTATAGGAGAACATGATTTGTAAAGAGGTATCAACGCATGATCGACCTCCTCGCAAAATATATTCTCCTGATAATATAAATTATAAGAAACGAATTTTCGAAAATTTTCACGCTTGCGTTATTAGGAGAACATGATTTGTAATGAGGTCATCAACGCATGATCGACCTCCTCGCAAAATATATTCTCCTGATAATATAAATTATAAGAAACGAATTTTCGAAAATTTTCGCGCTTGCGTTATTAGGAGAACATGATTTGTAAAGAGGTCATCAACGCATGATCGACCTCCTCGCAAAATATATTCTCCTGATAATATAAATTATAAGAAACGAATTTTCGAAAATTTTTACGCTTGCGTTATTAGGAGAACATGATTTGTAAAGAGGTCATCAACGCATGATCGACCTCCTCGCAAAATATATTCTCCTGATAATATAAATTATAAGAAACGAATTTTCGAAAATTTTCGCGCTTGCGTTATTACGAGAACATGATTTGTAAAGAGGTCATCAACGCATGATCGACCTCCTCGCAAAATATATTCTCCTGATAATATAAAATAATAAGAAACGAATTTTCGAAAATTTTCACGCTTGCGTTATTAGGAGAACATGATTTGTAAAGAGGTCATCATCGCATCATCGACCTCCTCGCAAAATATATTCTCCTGATAATATAAAATAATAACAAACGAATTTTCGAAAATTTTCACGCTTGCGTTATTAGGAGAACATGATTTGTAAAGAGGTCATCAACGCATCATCGACCTCCTCGCAAAATATATTCTCCTGATAATATAAAATAATAAGAAACGAATTTTCGAAAATTTTCGCGCTTGCGTTATTAGGAGAACATGATTTGTAAATAGGTCATCAACGCATCATCGACCTCCTCGCAAAATATATTCTCCTGATAATATAAATTATAAGAAACGAATTTTCGAAAATTTTCGCGCTTGCGTTATTAGGAGAACATGATTTGTAAAGAGGTCATCAACGCATGATCGACCTCTTCGCAAAATATATTCTCCTGATAATATAAATTATAAGAAACGAATTTTCGAAAATTTTCGCGCTTGCGTTATTAGGAGAACATGATTTGTAAAGAGGTCATCAACGCATGATCGACCTCCTCGCAAAATATATTCTCCTGATAATATAAATTATAAGAAACGAATTTTCGAAAATTTTCGCGCTTGCGTTATTAGGAGAACATGATTTGTAAAGAGGTCATCAACACATCATCGACCTCCTCGCAAAATATATTCTGTTGATAATATAAATTATAAGAAACGAATTTTCGAAAATTTTCGCGCTTGCGTTATTAGGAGAACATGATTTGTAAAGAGGTCATCAACGCATCATCGACCTCCTCGCAAAATATATTCTCTTGATAATATAAATTATAAGAAACGAATTTTCGAAAATTTTCACGTTTGCGTTATTAGGAGAACATGATTTGTAAAGAGGTCATCAACGCATCATCGACCTCCTCGCAAAATATATTCTCCTGATAATATAAATTATAAGAAACGAATTTTCGAAAATTTTCACGTTTGCGTTATTAGGAGAACATGATTTGTAAAGAGTCATCAACGCATCATCGACCTCTCGCAAATATATTCTCCTGATCATATAAATATAAGAAACGAATTTTCGAATATTTTCACATTTGCGTTATTAGGAGAACATGATTTGTAAAGAGGTCATCAACGCATCATTGACCTCCTCGCACAATATATTCTCCTGATAATATAAATTATGAGAAACGAATTTTCGAAAATTTTCGCGCTTGTGTTATTAGGAGAACATGATTTGTAAAGAGGTCATCAACGCATCATCGACCTCCTTGCAAAATATATTCTCCTGATAATATAAAATAATAAGAAACGAATTTTCGAAAATTTTCACGTTTGCGTTATTAGGAGAACATGATTTGTAAAGAGGTCATCAACGCATCATCGACCTCCTTGCAAAATATATTCTCCTGATAATATAAAATAATAAGAAACGAATTTTCGAAAATTTTCACGTTTGCGTTATTAGGAGAACATGATTTGTAAAGAGGTCATCAACGCATCATCGACCTCCTCGCAAAATATATTCTCCTGATAATATAAAATAATAACAAACGAATTTTCGAAAATTTTCACGCTTGCGTTATTAGGAGAACATGATTTGTAAAGAGATCATCAACGCATCATCGACCTCCTCGCAAAATATATTCTCCTGATAATATAAATTATGAGAAACGAATTTTCGAAAATTTTCGCGCTTGTGTTATTAGGAGAACATGATTTGTAAAGAGATCATCAACGCATCATCGACCTCCTCGCAAAATATATTCTCCTGATAATATAAAATAATAAGAAACGAATTTTCGAAAATTTTCGCGCTTGCGTTATTAGGAGAACATGATTTGTAAAGAGGTCATCAACGCATCATCGACCTCCTCGCAAAATATATTCTCCTGATAATATAAATTATAAGAATCGAATTTTCGAAAATTTTTGCGCTTGCGTTATTAGGAGAACATGATTTGTAAAGAGGTCATCAACGCATCATCGACCTTCTCGCAAAATATATTCTCTTGATAATATAAATTATAAGAAACGAATTTTCGAAAATTTTCACGCTTGCGTTATTAGGAGAACATGATTTGTAAAGAGGTCATCAACGCATCATCGACCTCCTCGCAAAATATATTCTCCTGATAATATAAATTATAAGAAACGAATTTTCGAAAATTTTCACGTTTGCGTTATTAGGAGAACATGATTTGTAAAGAGATCATCAACGCATCATCGACCTCCTCGCACAATATATTCTCCTGATAATATAAATTATAAGAAACGAATCTTCGAAAATTTTCACGCTTGCGTTATTAGGAGAACATGATTTGTAAAGAGGTCATCAACGCATCATCGACCTCCTCGCAAAATATATTCTCCTGATAATATAAATTATAAGAAACGAATTTTCGAAAATTTTCACGTTTGCGTTATTAGGAGAACATGATTTGTAAAGAGGTCATCAACGCATCATCGACCTCCTCGCAAAATATATTCTCCTGATAATATAAATTATAAGAAACGAATTGGTTTGTTTGCTCTTAATGCTCTTTACTTAATTATCATGTTGTTAAATATTTTTCTATATCAAGTGTCACCGTGTGAATGATGGCAAAGCTATGACATGTATAGCCGCTTGCTATACGTCGTCAAGGCCAAACATATGATATTAATTGATAATTCTCTGCCGAAATATTTTGCGTACTATATATACACGCGACATTTTAAATTATAGAAGTATATTTTATTTTAAATTAATTAATTATGAACGATTAATGTATCACGGAACAATCGCGATATATCGCAAACCATCATCATGTTTCGGAGAGCGACCCGTCCGCCGCTTCGCCGCGATCGTAGTATCTATATTTAATTATTTAATCGAACGATTGCATTCTGATTCATCTTTTCGTTCGGTATATATAAGTATTTAATCAATTAATCGAACGATTACATTCGGCTTGCCATTTTACTCGCCGCGTTACAGTGAATATCGCGCGAGATAGGCAGGCAACATGCGCGGCGTCGTGCACGATTTCGACCGTCCGCGCGCAGACGAAAAACAGCGAATTTATATCTCGACTTCCAGACGCGATTTCGTTTTTTTTGCATAAAATTCTACACCATTTCGCGGCACTACCGTTTAAATCTCGTCCCGATCGCCCGAAGAGCGGCTGACTTACAGTGAATATCCGAAATTTGCTTCTTGGACTCACACTTAAATGTAATATTTATACATATAATATAAATATATAATATAAATATATAATATAAATAATAGCAAGGAAAAGAGAGAACATATTAATATTTTTATATAATAAATTATTATTAATTAAATTATTTATATTTTTATTTATATTATTTATATTATCAGAGGGACATATATGTTATCCTCTGAGAACCTTTGTGGACATTTGTTTTGTAATTCATATTTTGTTGTTAATGTTCATAGAGGGAGTATCACTTCCAGGTATAAAGCGAGCCATGACATCTCTCAGTCTCTCTGTGCACGCTCGGTCGGCTTCGGTCAGCTCCAATCAGCGTTGAGCGCATGCGCATCGCATCGCCTCCACGCTGTTGACAGATATGACATTAAGGCACTAAATATATGAGTATTCTATACTCCGCCATTTTTAATCCATCCCCCCACCCATTCATAATCTCACTAACCTATCTACTATAATCTCAGCTTAGCGATGAGGCGAATGACACGAGAAACAAGGAGGGGGAATGGATTAAAAATGGCGGAGTATAGAATACCTGTATATTTAGTGCTCTACTGTTATTACTAGAGAACCTCTAGGAGAGAGAATGGACAACTGATCATGTGACATGTGATCAAGCTTTTTCATGATTGGCTGGCAGAAAATGTATCAATTTTAGCTATTGCGACGCCAATGCAAAATATGATGCAGACAAATAGGTTAATATATGTGTGTCATGTGTGTCCTATTTGTGTGTCATCATATTTTGCATTGGCGTCGCAATAGCTAAAATTGATACATTTTCTGCCAGCCAATCATGAAAAAGCTTGATCAGTTGTCCATTCTCTCTCCTAGAGGTTCTCTAGTTATTACCCAACTCTGCCCATAGGACGCATGCGCGCAATTTGCAAGAGGGCGCATGCGCGCAGTTTGCAAGAGGGCGCCTGCTCCCTCCACTCCTTGTCGCGTGGGACCACGTGACTTTAGCGGAGCAAGCGGCACCGATAGTCCTCGTTTTTTCACGATTGCTTATGATGGATCTCGTGCATTCCGATAGAAACGAGACCCAGATACAAATTCGTTTTGTAACCAAGCAAGAGAGGTAAGAGCTGGAATTTCCTTTTCTTTTCTTTCGTCGCTCTTTATTCGTCGAATTTATATCTTGGTTTGTGAATGTCTTTTCTTCAGATATGCAGTACCGAATTATCCTCTATCAATACACAGTTCGATAGTCGCCAGCGAATTAAACAATATAATAAATGAACTTTTGAAAGGTGAGGAGAAGAGTTTCCGTGTGAAAACTACTCGCTTTAATGTATTTCCAATTGTCTTTACTTCTTTTCAAACGATCCTTAATTATTCATTATTTAATGTGTTTATTATCTAGTATTAAAAGATATATATTGTGCTTTTCCAAACACGTGAACTTAATTATAAAAGTAATTTCATGTATAAATTAATTTTTATACGTCATTTAATTTGAGTTACTTGTAAGAAAATTAATAATTTTTGTAAGCCTTATAATTAGTATCGCCTAAGAACCAAATGCCTGATTGTTTGCAGAGTCGAATGATATCCAAGATGAAGTGGAATTCGATTTCTTGGTTTATTCGCAATTTTTACGCACCTCCCTGGCGGAGCATATCGCAGACAGGGGAATTTTTACAGAAGAGGTGATAGAAGTGGAACATGTAGAGAAGCATCCCTTACCAGAACCAAAGGATTGTTTGATACACGATGACTGGGTATCAGCTGTCGCCGTTTGTGGAAAATGGTTGGGCTTCTCATGATTATAAAATTTTAAAAATTGGAAGATAAAATATCCATATATCTGTATCTTTACTTATTATTAAGATTCTAACATTATCGATTATTCTATTTAGGATCCTAACTGGTACTTACGATAATAAACTGCATATTTGGACATCGAAAGGTAAACATCGTCTTGTGATTCCTGGACATGCATCTCCTGTCAAAGCAGTGGCCTGGATATCTCTCGATAATGATAAAGCTTCCTTTGTCAGGTAGTTTTTCCAAAAATAGTAGTATCAGTTGTGTATTCTTTTTATGAATTTTATATTTATATTTTTTTATACACAAATTGTTAATTATATAACATGCATTAATACAATTTTTTGTGCAAATATCCAAGATGTATAAACAAAAGTTAAGCATATTGCAGAAAATAAGAAGCATTAATAATGATTTTTACAAATTCACGTGTACACAGTGCATCGATGGACCAGACATGCATGATATGGAGTTGGGATATAATTAAGAATTCTGTAGAGTGCGTACATGTTTGCAAAGGACATAAAAGAAGCGTCGAAGCAGTCAGTGTAAACTATAATAAGACGTTAATGGCAACTGGTGCTTGGGATAATATGCTTTTTGTATGGTCAACATGTAAGTATGTAATATAAAAAATTTTTTAAAAATGGAAACATGGTGCAAAGAACTTTCTTGTTTTAAAGAATATTGATTTTAAAGAGATTTGAAAAACATTTATTAAAAAACAGTATAAATAGAGATGTAATAATTTGACAAACAACTATTTATATGAAATTGATAATTAATCTCTCTTTTGCTAATTAAGCTACACAAGAGGAAGATGATAGTGGGGAATCGGCACCAAAGAAGGCAAGATTAGAATACGCTAGTAAAACGAAGGTATGCAAATTAATATATTAAATTAAGATAAAAAAATTTGGTTTAAAATATCATCTTGATCCGGTTATCATACGTCGTTTTGCATCGTCCAGGCTCCAAAATGCGCGATGAAGGGACACAAACAGGCAATCAGCGGGATCGTGTGGTCCGACAAAACAGAAATCATCACTAGTTCGTGGGATCATACGATAAAGATCTGGGATTCGGAATTGGGTGGCATCAAGCATGAGATCCATGGCGATAAGTGTTTCTTCGACATTGACTACTCGCCCTTATCACGTGCTGCGATAACAGGATCGGCCGATCAACATGTGAGGCTGTACGACCCGAGATCTGCAGGTGCTTGAACCTACGACTTGGAACATTGTCAACAATGTCTTTACAAATTCAAGGACATATTGAAAAATTAAAATACTTTCAATATATCAAGTCTTTTAGCTTTTATATTTATAAAATTTTTAATCAATACTGAATCTCTTTGATTAACGTAGAAACTTTATTTTTGAATTTTTCATTTTTCTAACTTTTCATTAATTTTAGTGAATGGGTATTTTAAACTATGTTTATGATTTTAGAGGGTACGATTTTGAAAGCCAAGTTCACCTCTCACACGCAATGGGTGGCGTCGGTACGATGGTCGACCGTGAACGAAAATCACTTCATCTCGGGAGGGTATGATAACGTCGTCAAATTCTGGGATACCAGAAGGTCAGTTACAGATAATAATGAGTGAAATTTACAAAAAAATAATTAATATAAATTAATAATTATATAATTAAATATTGTAAACTTATTGCTTGGAAAAGTTATCTTTAATTTAACGCGTTAATATTCAGATATTAAATTCAATATGAGAAACATGAAAAAATACAGAAATACGAAATTTCTGAATGTAAAAAAATAATAGTCTTGTCTATATATCTAGACTTATACATTAACGTTTACGATCATCTTCCAGCCCTAAGGCACCGCTGTTTGATCTTATGGGACACGAAGACAAGGTCCTCAGCTGCGACTGGTCGAATCCTGAATTGATAACCTCCGGTGGTGCGGATAATACTTTAAGGATATTCAAGTCCAAGCACGAGGCATCGTAATCGTAACCGCGGTACAATACAAGTATTATACAAGCAGAGGCAATGTGTACAATCAATGAAGAAACAATCGAGAAATTGCTCGCAAATAATTTAAGTTTGAGAATTATTAATAATATTAGTGAATAATTTTGAAACGGGGAAAATTAAATTAATCATTAACATGATTAATAAATTGAGTCGTAAAAAAACGATCTCTACCACTTAGCACTCGATTATGTACACAATTTCGTTCAAGAATCTTTGTACTTGTTATGGATTTTTATTGATCTTTTTTTATGCGAAACGAGAGAACTATCGCGAATCAAAATCAAAATATTGATTGTACTCGATCACATCGTTATGTCGTATGTAAAAAATGCGGAAACTGAATCGATACACCAATGCAACGGTAAAAAACGTTACAATTGACTGTAATAAAGGACGTCCATTGATTAAGAACATGTTTCGTGCCTAAATCAGCGCATTTCCCAGTTGCCTCTCTCTCCTCCTCTCTCTTCAAGAAGACTCGTACCGGATAGGTGAAGTAAGAGAGTCGTGTCGCTCGGCATAAATCCCCAAAACAGATCGTTTATTGATCAAAAATAAGGGACGATAATCGTGACGAATTTGGGAAATTCGCTTCCCCGCATCGCGAAGTATTTAATTATTTACCAAACCGTTTCTTCATTACTCGTGTAATTCTAAAAAGACCACCGACTCAAGTGTGCACGCCCCTATAGCAGAGACACACATTTAGGGTGTATGCGTTAATAATACAGGAGCAGCGGAGAGCGTGCACCCTCGCAATAGCGCGCGCATTCTTTTTCTCTCTTTCTTTCTGTACAAGTTCTGTGTCAAGTTGTGTATGTGTGTGTATGCGTGTCTGTGTATGTATTCTGCACACAAGTGTGTGAGTGTGAGTGTGTATGTGTGTGCGCTGTAGTCTCTGTATGTAAAATAGGCAGATGATGGTTCTCTTCGAGTACGCGTTATCTTTCTGCTTTTTCTTTTTTTTTTCTTTCTCTCTCTTTCTCTCCCCCTTTTGAAATTTATGGCATACACCTACGTACACACACGCTCCTTTTCTCTCTCTCTCTCTCTCTCTCTCTCACTTTCGCTCACACATTCTCTCCCGGTCGGTTTTTTTCTGCTCGTCAGCTTTCGCAATATCTCGGTCGCGCGCGATTTTTTCCTCGGTTCCTCTATTTTTTTTTGTCCATTTTTCCCTTTTTTTCTTCTTTTTTTCATTTTGTGTTTGCTTGTTTATTCTCTCCGGAGATTCTATCTAAAAATTCCCACGTTATCTCTTCTCACACAAAGACTAGCGTTTTTTTTTTAAACGATCCAAAATAAACTAAGGGCACTTTTTAGTGGCTTATGCTCCATGTGTCGTCGTCGCGTGTGTCACGTTCCCTCCCCTCCCTCCACCCCTTCCTCTTATGTTCTTCTTCGAGCTTTTTTCAATATTTTTTTTCATTTTTTTTTCTCTTTATTCATGAAAAATCTAATTCTGACTTGTTTCTTGTGTTAAACTTTGTTTTATTACAGCACCTATTCGACTTCCTAAGAGTCTCCCTAGATCTCTTAACTAGCTATGACACAACTTGCCTTAACGTCTAAAAAGATTTTTTTTTTCTTCACATTACATGCTAAAAACGCCTCTCTTCTTCGTCTCTGTCTTAAAAGTACTCTCGAAATTCTACAAATTGATCCTCGCGCGCGCGGATTTAAAAAGGGACCTCGGCGTCCGACGACATCGGTTTTCCTTTCTCTTTCTCCCCCGGGTTCTTCTGCGCTTTCCTCACCTTTCCCTCTCTGGCCAAGACTCTTGGAAAGACGACGCAAAGTAAGCGGTACACACGGGGTACGTGTCTCATCTCTCTCTCGTTTCGTCCTAGTGTATTACATTACGCACACACAAGTCCTCCCGCATCCTTCGTTCCAGGAAGGACGAGCGGAATACAAATGCAAAAAAGAAACCATGGGACAAGGGGGTGGAGGGGCGCGGAGATACATCGGCGGGGGGAGAGAGAGGAGAGAGGTGGCGATGGAGGGGGAGGGGGAGGAAGTGTGGAAGAAGAAACAAAGATCGTCGACTAATTACAACTACGTCGCTTAACAAACACGTGTAAAACAATGACTTAAAAACTTGGAAAACTAAGGACTGTACAAATCGAAGTACAAGACGATGATCTAGTCACCTCGGACCTCGCTTTATATCGCTAATTCACTCGCACTCTAAATTCTCTCGCACGCAACAAACGCACGCATTCCTCTCGCTCTCTTAAGCCGATCTCGACTAAACATTATTTTTACTTAAAAACATCCTACGCCTCTTCGTCTTCTCACGCTCTCGATTTCCACCCTCGTCTTCCTCTCTACAATCAGAGCCTATCGACTACGGTATGTCTAATCTAAAAAAGTGTCTATGCTAAGATTCTAGAGAAAGCTTTACGCTGGAAAGCAGCATCGTCCGCAGCGGCAAGAACCGTCTTCCTGCCCGAGAAAAAAACCCCTGGTCATAGACCGCGGGGGAGCTCGCGAGCTCCTTCGCAAGCAATAGAGCTTCGCGTTAGAAGCAAAGAATCGTACAAGAGGAGGAAAAAAAGAACATTCATATGATTTTTCGCTTCTGACGCCATTCGGTGACAGGGACACCACGAGGGGGACCACGTCGAGGATCGTCTTCGTCGCGCGCCGAATCTCGATCCTCTGGAGTAACATCGAGTCTAGAGTCGCGAGGGGGGAGGAGGAGTGGCGACCTGCTTCTTGCGAAATCCCAGGCGAGCTCCCACGCTCCTATCGTTCAAATTTCAAAAAAGCCCACATCCGGCCAGCCCACGCACCCGACCCGCGGTGCGCAGCAAGCAAATAGTTCCTTACTATTTATACAATTATACAAGTATAGCTCATATATATATATATATATATACTGTATAGAATAATATATATATATTTATCAATTAAAATATGAATAGCCAGTCAGTCTTGACGGGTGCGAGGTGCATAGGCTGAACGGTGCCCCATGCCCGTGTCCCCCCTCCCCTCCACCCTCGCGTCCACGGTATAAAGCGTGGACGGAGGGGTGGCAGGGGGACACGGGGAATGAGAGGCATATATTATTTATTATACATGTGTATTCGTATCCTAACTATCGCTATGTAGCTAAACTATTGTTCTACCTAACTACCGTTGTAAACTTAGCCGATAAAAGATCGCCCCGTTTTTCCTTTTATCTCCTAATTCGAGCGAGTCCTCGCCGCTCACTCGCACGTCTCGCTTATAATCCTAAGGATTTTTTATTCCCTCTCGCCTCAAAGTTCAACGTCTAACTATCTACGCGAGACACGTTGCCGCGCGCGCTCGAAAAAAAAATAGAAAAAAAAAAGGAAAGACGCGTCTTTCCGCGCGTTCTTGCTCTGTACACAATAATTATGCGCTCTCTCTCTCTCGCTCACGATCGCTCTCTCTCTTTCTGTCGCTTCGCCGGCCGCTCTTTTCTCCATCTTCTTTTACGGAATTTCTTCGGCTGCATTCGGGGATGTTGGACGCGCGATAGCGTCCTCGCATCCCCCTTCTAAGGGTCGGCGCTTTAATGCTATTAATGCTGCTCTGTTTACTCACTTTTCTCCCTCTCCTCTCTTTTTTTCGTTTGGTCGGTCACGATAATTACTTTAGTTTTTTTTTTTAGTTGTATACAAGTCTATTTAGTAAAATTCTCAAAATTTACTATTAAAATCACATGTGGATTTTTTTGTCAGTCAATTGGTGACAATCTCGCCTTGTGCAACAAATACACTATACGCACTTGCTAATAGATGCTCCTGTCACTCTCGCTTCCATTTCGGTTTTATATCTCCCCCGCTTTCTCTCTCTCTCTCTCATACACTCTCTCTTTATCTCGCACTCACTCTCTCTCTCTCTCTCTCGCATCCTCCGATTTTTTACTTTTTACTTTAATGCGTGGAGTCAAATCGAGTAATAAGTCTGTCTCTTAAAAAATAGCTCGTACTTCGCCTTTCTACTTCTTCACCTTCTTCTTTTTTTTTTCAATTTATCTCTCTCACTCTCTCGTCATCAAATCGTGATGTACCAAAATAAACTAAATATATTATTTACTTCAAGTCTCAACAGTGTAAAAATCTTTCATACGTTTAGATGACATCAATAATAGTAAATCGTTAATTATAATAATACATCGTCGTTATTGTAATATTATAATAATAACTACACGACTCGGTTTTCTTTCTTTCGTTCATTCGTTCTGTCTCTCTAAAACTCTATCTAACTACCTGTGCTTGCTGCCTTCGCCATCGTCACTTCGACATCATCATTCATTTTCTTGTGTGTCACGCGAATAGCCCGAATAGCTCTCGCATATTTTTTGGTAAAAAGCTTTTCCACATTTTCTCCCTCTCTTTCGCTCTTCCACTCGATCCTCGACTGTCAATTCCAACTCGGACAATGCAAAAATTCTGCCGGCTGCATAAATGACGACGGTATGACGAGCATAGGAGAGGAGGCATTCGCAGGAGAGGGAAAAGAGATGGAGATCTCGTTGGACATGGGTGTAACGTGAGACTAATCAAGACCCGAACGGGCAACGTGATGATCTCTAGTGGATTCAAATAATATAATCATTTTACTTTTGCGAGTTTCCAAAAAATTTTTTTTTTTGGCAAAATATACTTATTTTAGTAAATACAGAGTTATCGCGCAGAGTCGCGCGTAACAACGCTCTCTAAAGTTTTTTTTTCAACCTTCCTAAATCGAAACTTCCTATTTGATTGATCATCCGACGAATATTCTCGCGCGATGTTACTTTACGATTTATTTACAACTATTAATTTTAACATCCGGAAAGATGACAAAATATCGTCTCGATTACTCTCTCTTTCTCTCTCCTCGATCTGTGTTGTGTGTGTTGCGTATACATGAGTGTACGATTGTAAGATCGATGTATCTTTATTTTTGCTTCCCGTCTAATCCCTTTTTTTGTCGACAGTAACGCGCGTTTTCTCGATAAAATAAATTAATAATTACATTCTAGTTTACTCGTCTCGTGTAACAAACCCACTTGTATCGATTTCTTTATCTTCCTCTCTCTCTATCTATCTCAGACATACTCTCATTCTCTCGTTGCCTCGCGCTCGCTTTCTCGATTCGTGTCGCAGTTTGATTTTTTAGAGACTTTCTTAGATATTTTTTTATTCCTTTTTATTATGCCCGTGATATACGCCTGTCTGTTTTTTTCTTTTTTTTCTTACAGTCCGACAATCCCGTTCGACAATTCATGCAATTACACGTACAAAATTTATCAAATTGATAACGAAAACAAATGTATATAGAGATATTTATAACGCGAAAACAATTACAGATATATTAACTAGAAAATTAAATTTGGCGTCGCATCTGAATTTATCGATACGTAAAAATATAACAATCTTTTTCCTTATATACTTTACTCTCTTTCGCACTTTCTCTTTCTTTCTCTTATTTAACGGATTTGTCTGTAAAGGCACGATTCTAAAAAAAAAAATTGCATTTAAACTGTACAATTAAAAATCGATCTTAATCCGTAGCGTAATCATGATAAATATAATGTTACAAAGAGTTTTTTCCTTCGTTCTTCGTATAATAATTATATTCAAGTGTACCTTGAAGTTTTTCCCCTTTCGTATTTTACAAACGAAATTTGATTGTCGTATTTTCTTTTTTTCCAATTTGTTTCCAAAAATTATTATTATAAATTAACAAAGAAAAAAGCAAGAAAGAGAGTAACTATTTCTCGCTTTTTATGCTGAATACTATGAATTACCTTTGCTTCATTATATCACATTCTAAGAAATTAAATTTCAAGAAATTTGTAATTAAAATTGCAAGTGGGCTATTTTCATGTATTTTATCATATTGCTACAGTGTGCAATTTAATGAAGAAATTTTGATCGTAGGACGTTAAGATATAACGATCATTAGATATAACATAGTAAAATACATTAAAATAGCTTTTTCTGCAATCTAATAATTACAAATTTCTCAAAATTAACAAGGTGGAACAGTGAAAACAAAAATTATATTTATCAAATAATTACAGGATGATTACCCTCTTTCGTGTTTGAAAAACAAATTTTTTTGTGTTATTATATAATAATATATCGTTACAAAAAGAAACAAAAATATAATTTAAAAAAATACCTCTACGCGATGTGCTCATATATGTCCGGTTTGGAATGTCTCTGAACATCTTAACAAAGCGGAAAAAAAGAAAAACCCGAAAAGAGAACACGTGAACTCGTGAACGATAAAAATGTATGATGTTTCTGTCGGTGTATCTTGTATAGTCTGTAATCTGTAATGTGAAGAAAGATCTGTGGGTGAAGTGTATGTACGCTCTCGTGGAAGACGCGTTTCCAAGCATGTTCTCAACGAAGAATTTTCGCAAATGAGCGCCATTTTCGAGATTTGCAGTCATGATTCTGAATCTTTGAATTTCTCCTCTCGATGTTAATACCTGTCAATCGTATCATCTGGAAGTAGTGCATTCCATCTTTCTCTCCCTCTCTTTCACCATCTTTCTCCCTCTCTCTCTCTCTCTCTCTTTCTCTCCGTATATTATTATTATTTACTATTATTTTCTTAGGAAGAATTCTCCTTTATATATTTCTGAGCAGCATTATTTTTTCTTCTTCTTTATTCGTTTTTTTTCCTTACAATTTGCACACGCACATTCTCTCTCTCTCTCTCTCTCTCTTACTCGTTAAAATACTTATTCATACTCTCGAATTCTCGAGATCAGTTTCGATCAATTTCTGTCTCATCTGTTCTTAGTAATACCTAAAGTTACATCATGGAAGCCTATCAGCTTGACACTAAACTGTCCTTCGTAAATAACTCGATTTTTTTGTCACTGTGTGTATATGTGTATGTATCGCTTTCTCTCTCTCTTTGTGTATCTATCTGTGTACATGGGAGTGTACGTGTTACCGTTACATAGATAGTTTTAACGGAGCCATAACGGTGCGGATGCACGTGCTGGCCCCGCGGATGACACGTGAACGCTCTCATGTTTTTTTTCTCTATTTCTTCAATTCTATTTTCTCTGTCTCTTTCTCTCTCTTTGCTCGCTCCCTTTCGCTCTTACACATTCTTTCAAACATTCATTCTACCTACTCGTTGCAAAATATCAACTACTTTCCCCTATTTACTGATGGATAAAACGTATAAAACATCGCTGGCAAGTCAATTTATCGTGAGGAAGAATCTTATCCGTTACGTAATGTAGTTTTTGTTTCAAATCTATATTCTTCTTAGTATAATTATCCCGCTCGGTGTCGGTTGCTGTCGCTCGTTCTACGCGTGTCTCTTGATGCGTCAATCAGTATGCCTTTTCTTTCTAACTCTTATGTAACTCTTAGCGCGATCGTACATCTGCAAAATCCGAAAGATCGCTTTAGTATGTTGTGCCGTCCTATTGCGAGCGAAGGAATTTGTAATTTAGCACGATATTATCGCATCGTGCGCCATTACGAGAGGGAGAAAGAATTCTGACCTATTATAAACCGTGGCCTACTTAGGCTGCTGAGCCTGGTATTGTTGATAGGAATCGTCGGGAGACGCCGCGTTACTCGTCTGCTCCGACTCGCCCAGTGGCATGGTGTGAATGATGCTAGGGGCGGGGTAAGTGGTGTAAGGATAGGGATGCGGGCTCGCTATGTACTGAAAAGTAGAAACAAGACTATTATTAACTCTCATTTTTGTGTCAACGTTAACTTGAATCAATCTATCGAGCAACACATGCGTTCGAAAGACGTTTTAAATATTTAATAAGACCTTTTTTAAATATTTGATTTCATTTTTTTCTTAAAGATTTAATTAAATTTTATCTTGAGAAACATTCTAGGAAAACATTCTTTCGATCAAAATGTACAAGTGTTTTAAAACCATGAAGATAAAATAACTTTTCAGTTTCAACCTTGGAGACGTCTTTCGAATTCTGTGCTTCAACAGCTGATAAGAAAAGATCGATGACTTACGGAACCAGTGCCGAGATGCAAAGTAGACATCTGCGTGGTAAGCTGAGGAATCATACTGTACTGCGGATTGCTAGGATCGGCCGACGGAATCATCTGTAATAAAGAGATTAATGAATCTCGATAATGAAAAAGTAAACGATGAGAAGTTTGAAAAAGAAAAGAAAAATATTCCAAGAAGGATAGGATCCTTATAATAAAGTTAAACAGCAATATTGGACACGATTTTCTAGAAAACAAACACATAATTCAACCATATGGCTTAATAATTATGTATCTATCTTGAAAAAGACAGCTAATTTAGATTGAATGAGATTTACAAGTTCAAATTTAAAATGTTTCATCTATTCAACTTTATTGGTGGAAAAAAGAATTGTTATTTATGCGAAACAATTAATCTCTTCGATCGAAGAATTCGATACAAAAGTATTCTTCTTTAAACGACGAAAACAAAATGAACGAAAAGTGTATAAAAACTCACGTCAACCTGTTGCATATGTGGTGGGGAAGGGTGCACGAGATAAGGTGCCACCCAAGGAGCGCCTGGCACACTGTAACCAGGCAGTGCCTGACCGTAGTGACGGCTGTACTGCGTCAGAGTCGCCGCGGGAAGCATGTGAGTCGCAGCAACGCCATTCTGGCCGACACCACTTGTGTCGTAATTCAAAGTCATGTTCTGAAAGAGGTAGACGTAATGATAACTAGTACATCCTTTGAAATATCAACAAGCGAAGGGATTACTACACAAAATCTTTTATAATTTGCTTTCAGAAAAATGTGATGATAGTCAATTTTTATAATTTTAATGAGCAATGATGTGTAATAGATGAATGCAATATAAATCTTGCGACATAGTCATACACTGTGAATGATACATGTATACGCTTTCCAGATCAATGTCACAAAAAAACAAGAGTCAAAAGGAGAGAAGGACTCTTTACATAATATATTATATTATATTTACATAAACCATTCTCAAAGAAATATAAATATAGTTGTACATTGAGGCGTTTGAATAAAATAAAATAAAATAACAAGACCTGTCATGAGAATACATATATATTTATATATATAAATGTTACTATTGTATATTCGTATATATAAATGTAATTATTGTAACATATCATTGTACATATTATTTTTTCACATATTCCTCATAAATTCCCAGACTTTTATTTCACTGGTGTACCAAGATATTAATTTTAAAAGCAAAGAAATCAGTAGTGAGATCTAGATATTATAACAACGTGCTAAACCAACAAAAAAAGAAAACATTTGGCTGGAAAATGACGCAACCGAGCAATATTCGCAATTCAGTATATTGTAATGTTTTAACAGGACCTCAACACTGACTTCTTCGCTTTTAAAATTGATGCACCGATGGAATAAATGCCTGGCCACATATTGAAAATATGTGAAAAAGTAACATGTGCAATGACATGTTACAAATAATAGTTATATATAAATATACGTATTCTTCTCTCATGTGATAGATCTTGTTACTTATTGAAATGCCTTCGTAGATATATCATTCTGCACAATATCATTATGACTTAATTTTGTGTATGTAGGGATTGATAAAAAAGAATGCGTACTTCTCCAGTTTCCCTCCATATTGTACTCTTGAACAACGATTTCTTCTTGTTTCCACCATCAGCGAACTTAACTAATAAAGGATCCTTTGCGCCTGGCAACGCTTTTCCATTGAACATCTGGATAATTTGCTCGCATTTTTCTTTAGATTCCATTCTGTAAAAGTTTGAAATTTTAAATTATTTAAATTAATTTCAATTAATTATACATTTTACAATAATATATTAACACAATATTAACATTTTCAAATCGTATCGTGACATAAAATAATACAATATGATGTACTAATTTCTTTTATTTCTCGACAAGAGGAGAATCTTGCAAACGCAACTCTCGGTAAATCAATAGTAGCAATGTTACTGTCGCGTATCATGGATTTTCATGCGAACCTTGCGAATCCGACACCTTTGCTTTGACCCGAGGTGTCGCGGAGGATGCGAGTTGAAATGACCTGTCCATATTGAGCCAGTAATGCTTCGACGTCGTTCTCCTTGAAAGTCAACGGTAGATTGGCAATGTACAGATTGGTGGGGTCCTGCTCCTGTTGCTGGGAAGAGAGTAAAGACACTATGCAATTACTTGTGTAACAGAACGATACGATGAATATATCGATTTGCAAACAAATCTGAGCGGACTATCATTTTAACTTCCACGACTGTTAATGTATATCGTGTCGTATATATTTATTTCATCACGACTACAAATGGATGCACAGGCGAAACGATTCACAGAATGATTTGAAGTTCGACTTGACGCAAACTTTCTGCAAAATTTCTCCAACTATTTTAGAAATCCTATACAAGATAGGAAGAAAATATGCTATTATTGTTAGATTATGTATCATAAATTGATGTGAAATTATGAATAAATAATGGGGAGAATGAGAGTGATCGCGATTTTCTTTTTCTTAGTCTGGAACGTTAAAATGATATTTGCGAGTTTTATCGAATAATAAAATTGAAATAATAATAATAATAATAATAATAATAATATACGGAAAGACATTTATTCTCGAAAATAAAAAAATAACGAGATGTAATCTCGAGAAAGTGAATGTAAAATATAATAAAAAAGAGCGGTAGCCTCGTCGAAAAATACAACGTTTCTCTAGCAATACATTGATACACTACGAAAAGAGATCATGAAACTATATATTAGGAATCAATCTAAATTTCGAAACAAGCGCAAAATATAGAATGAACGGGAGGGTGTATATCGAAGACCGATACGTGAAACCGTATTAAGATAATTATTATTCTCAATGTCGGAAGGTTATCATGCTTCATGGCAATTTCATTACCACATTCTTGGTGGCTCTCTAAATTTGCTTGCTTTTAGGATGCATTCGATTTATATCTCGACTAGCAAATAAATATCTATATGTATATATATATATATATATATATATATATATATATATATATGTATGTATAAATATGTATGAGCTATCTCTAAAAATATTCGAAATTGTCTCGAATTTGTATCCTTCTTGTCCAGCATGCTTGTACGAGAATGAGATATAGTCTACACATACACATCGTTGTACAATCATGAACAATCCTCGCGTAAAGACTCTTCTATCACAAGAAAGACTGTGTCGTTTCTACGGATAAGCCCTAAAAGAGATAGGCATAATAGAGATAGTGAGCACAGCTAAAAATCGCAGATAAATAATAAATAAGAAATCAAATGTAAAAGAAAATTAAGAGGTCAGATACATATTTGTATAAAATAGTACAATAAAAAACATATGTGTATAAGAAAAAAAAAAAATAAAACAAGATTATCGAGACTCTCTCTACTTTAACGCAGTTGTTAAATTTTTATTGATGGACGAAGCTTCTCGCAACACACGAGATAACGATAAGTACGTCGCCTGTGCATACATTTCGTCGCGTATCACGGCAATGGAATGGGACAAATTTGCTCGAGTATCGTGCACGTGGGAGTGGAATTTTATTTGATGCAAAACGCCTGTTTGCGCAATCATCATCTCGAGTTGCGTTCGATGCTATTGAAAAATTTCGTGGCGCGTGTAAACGAGTATTCGCAGGAGGCAGAGAGGTATATACGATCGAAATTTCTGCACCGGGGCAAGGATTATACATAGCACGTAAACCTGGGTATTTATTCCGTATCCTCATTGAAAAATTTCTAATTATGTATGTACACGTGTCAAGAACCGTCTCCGTCGTCTTTACAGATAACCATTCAAAGCGGTAACAAAGAAGAGGTTCAAATAACAAATGGCATTTCATTGGAAAGAGAAAAAGAGACAGAGATAGAGAGAAAGAGAGAAAGAGGGGAAGAGAAAGAGAGAGAGAGATAGAAAGAAAGAGAGGGGGAGAGAGAGAGAGAGAGAGAAGCGTGATAAAAAAAGCACAGATATCTTTACGTATACATATATACGTACATATATGTATATATACAGTTATGTAAGTAAATGAACGGACGTGAAGAAGGAAAGCGACTCTGGACGAACACATGTCTCTCGCAAAAAACACATAATATATGTGAACGTGGACAAGGACGTACATATACGTATGTGTTCATGCTCCGTTTATGTCGTTTAACAATTTTTTTTAGAAAGAGTAAGTGGGGAGGATGAAACAAAATTTAAATAAGAGATGAGAGAAGGAAATATTAGAGAGAAAAAGAAAGAGAGAGAGAGAGAGAGAAAGATATATGTGTACGTATTTTGGATGATATACTGATGCACCCTCAAGCATATTTCGAGATGCCACCATTTCTCCGTCAACATATAATAAATCAATCAAAATATCTACGATTACTTGAGTATACTTATACTTTACGACAATTTACTTCAATCTTGCGAATGCATTAAAACAAAAGAACGAATAATGAAAATATCATGATATATAAGCCAGGCTGATGGCATTTAAATATATGCGGGCTGTCGCAGAATAAAGCGATTATCGTTTTAATGAAGCGAACGACTTGTGTGTTTGGGATCAACACACGGTCCAACGACTCTGTTTCCGTCACAACGAGAATTAATTGCGTTGTTTATCGCATTACCATCCATTCTACGACATCCTGCATATATGTATAATATATATATATATATATATATATATGGATGATCAAATACAGATATAGAAGCTCCATTCTTCGAATGTTATTTAATGATTAATTATCCGAATGATACGTAAAAAACGGTACAATTATTCTCCAACGATGTCTTCTCGCAAGAGCCAACCATTGTTCGAATAATCAAGCGTTTCCATCATTGTTCGAATCATCGAATAGCGTTCGAATAATCAAGCTTCCGCTGTATCAAATATACTCTTTCTTAATGTACTCTTATTCCGATAGAACCAGTTCGTATAGATTCGTCGAACTCGTGCATTCGGAACTTTGCGTAAGATTCGACAACAGCTCGACTTTTAATCTCTTGATATTTTTTTTTCTTCCTTCTGATACCGTTTATATATTCACTTTTTACTTCTGCGACTTTCTCTGTCATCCTGCAAACTCTGCATAAAGTAAACGTCATAAAAATAATTGACACTTTTATATTATTACTTATATATAATATTAACACTAATGTTAACAATTTACTACACATAATTGATTTTTTTTTGCAAGTAGTGAGCAGTTCAGTGACTCTTGAATCTTTGAATCTTACGACGAGCTCCCGAATGCACCCTGCAGACGCGTTGAGAGATTAAATTTTTATTGTAAGATAAGTGTACGTGTCAATCAACGAGTCAACCAACACCCCTCGAGGAAAGATAACGCCTGATTCGAATATAACATCGCGTATCCCTGGGAGAAAGAGGGAGAAAAGACGAGAGGGAGGGGAGGGGAGCGATTTTAATCGAGCAGAGATACGATGATATCGCGCTTTTAGTTGTAATATCATATCACATGCCATCGACATCATCATTATCATCACACAGCTGCTGGTCATCACACCCCGTGCTTTCTTTACCGCGGATAGCTCAGATAGGAACCATTCCAATTGGAGTTAGTATCTTAATAAAATAAATGGCAGAGACGCAGGCGGGAAAGGCCGATACTCTCCTCGTTCAACAGCAGTTTTTGCTTTTTTTTTTTCTTTCCTTTCAATTTCGATCGAACAAAATCAACATAATGTAGGATATAGAAGCATCATCCTTTTCATAGTAAAGAGATCTTGATCATAAACAGATACATCATAACCGAAGAGTGCTGTCGAATCTAATTTGGTATAACACGAATCGAGTTTTAAGCTAATGCTCCCTTTGGATCGCTAATGTTACAATACGGAGAACATAATGAACGTAACGTTACACAATAATATATCGATATTACCATTACTAGATTTACTACTGATACGCTTATGCTGCCATACTTCAATGCAATACCGTTCTCTTCTTTAGCTTGTTATCAAGTCTTTCAACAAAGTTTTACGTCAAGCTCTAAAAAGGGCGGTATTAATAGACAAAATAGATTACTGTCGATCTCTTGCAAGCAATTGAATTAATTATATAAATTTAGATTGACACAAATTGAACGTCGACGGGTTATTATTGCGGACTCTATAGCGGGGCTCGAAATTAGTGTAGAAATTCGCAGAATGCAATTTTCAGACATGATGATCGTAAACATAGTGTTGGCATAGCATAGTATGTCGGCTGTATTTGTGGCCGAGGTATAGCAGCAAACACCGATAGAGGATTGGTAGGAGTAAGACAGAATTACAGACAAAGTATCGGAGAGAATTTCTAGATAAATGAGAGATAGAGTGAGAGAAACACAGAGAGAAAGAGAAAGAGAGAAAGATAGAGAGGCTCTTGATGGAAAAAATATATTACAGTCCCCGGTGTACATATATAAGAAATATTATGGAATTATTTCTTTAAATTTTATACACATAATTGCTCGTCGCATATACAAGCTAGTTATGATTGAATTAATTAATTATATCAAGAAGAAATACCACATGTGTATGTAAGAATGTTTTTGAAATATTTTTCTTTTCCGGACGATTTTTTTCTCCAGCTCTCATTCTAGTTAATGTTAAGAGAATATTTGATAGGCAATTTTATATAGAGATTTTATTAGATTTAAATTAGATGGAGATTCAGCAAAGAGAAGATAAATTTATGAAAAAAAAATCGAAATATTTATGATATAAATCTTTCTATACAAAATAAAAATTTAATAAATATAAATCGATAAATCATTCGTGCACAAGTGTTTAATTTGGTATTTTAATATTGATTCTAATTAAATATAAAAATATATGAAATAATAATTCTAATTGATCGAAACATTGATTGCTGTAGTATAACATTTTCGATATTGCATACAATGGAAGATGCGTCCGAAATATATCGCGTTTCGCACTTGTGACAAAAATCAAAGAAAATGCGATCCATCTCGATCGATTCTTCAAAATTTCCGTGCGAATAAACGAGGAACGACGAGAGAAGGGGACGTATGTGAAGAACACAACTAAACGCAATGGAGAGAATGGGGTAAAAAATATAGAAACGACAACAAAAAGAGAGAGAAAGAAGAGAAAGAGAGAGAGAAAGAGAGAGAGGTTTACTGTTACTCTGGTATTACTCTGTACTTGCATGCACAACCACGTACACTGTCCAGTCTACGGAGCAACCAGATACCCACTTTCGCCATCTGCGCTTGTATCCCCTTGGCGACCAGTGCTTTGACAGCACCCTCTGCCGCCATCGGTGACTCGAAGTCTACAAATCCGTAACCTGCAACATTATAATCAGTATAAATCTTATCGAGTTCTCTTTAAAAAAAAACTCTAAAATATGAAATATATAAAATATTTAGTAATTTTTATAATAATTGGTAGACATTGGTTGACTGTATTACGTGCATAGTATTGATACATAATGAATTGATGCATACTTTGCTCGAAAAAATTGAGTTTCTGAAGAAGTATCATTTTTTAATTTCCATAATTAACAATTTATGCACGTATATGTCAATAAAATTTTTTAATAAGAGAAAACAAATAATACATAATAATAAATAATTACAAATATAATTTATAGATTTGCGAAAATAAATTTATTATAATTTAAGATGTTCATGTGTCAATATGTTGAAGTTATACAAAGATTGTCATCCGTTGAATATTGAAGATTGAAAAACTGAAGAATTGAGAAAAAATAGACTAATCACTCTTGCCTCCATTTCAAGATATAATTCAAAATTTAAACGATCTTCAGAAATTCATACATTAAATTTAAAAAAATTACTTGGTAATTTTACAAATTATGTAAAATTGTCTAAAAAAAAAGAGTTTCTTTTGATTTTGTCGATAAAAAACAGCAAGTTTATTCTACAAACGAGTGACAATCTTGTTATAAGAAAGTATAATGAGAAACTTTTTGTTCATCAATCATTTGTATTGTAATCTCTAATGGAAATAGCACCATAAGAATTTTCACTCGACGTTAATAGATCAATTTGTAATAAAATAAATGTATTGCAATGATTAATTAATTTAATTAAAATACACTCGAGAAATATAAATATAAATATAATCGAGAAATGTGTGATTAATTACCTTTACATTTGTTTGTATTTTTGTCTAAAATTGCCTTGGTGGAAGTTATAGTTCCGTATCTGCAAAAACATCAGATTTCGTGATGTAACATATTTAAATTAACCTAATCATGATTAGTATTTCTCATAGTATACTTATATTTTAATTCTATTGATAATTATTCATAATTTATAAGCCTTAATAATTGTATGTACAATCTCACAAAGTTATGTAGATGGAATTATGATTAATAATGCTACAATAATTTATATTGATAGACTACATGTTTTTCTTTTGATAAGGCGTCATTCTCTCCGACAGAATCACAACTTAAATCCATGATCACGCGTTAAAAATATCGTTAGATACAACAAGATATATAATACAACATCACTTACTGAGAACACATATTAACGAGGTCTTTGTCAGTCGTATTCTGATTGAGGCCACGGATGTATAGATTTGTTTTGGACAGCTGCTCCGCCTGTTGACCCTGCATAGCGTTGTTACTGAGACTCGTGCTCATTGTCCCACTTTGGCTGCCAGTGGCACTACTAGAGCTGCTGTTAGTGTTCGCGGGAGATGAAGCTGTAGGCACCCGTTGTCCACCATACTGCAAACACATCATTAATAGTCAAGTAACTTGAGATGCTCGAAACGAGACAAAGGCGATTAATTTTATTCCGCTTTTTTACCAGATCGACTATCGATTATCGATACAGAATATATATTATCTCAAATTTCTAGTCTGGCACACGCCAAGTCTCCATGAAGTTAACGTCCCATTTGAAAGAAATCTCGATAATTCATTATTTTGTCCGTGAAGTTGGCCTTACAGTAATACCAATAAGTAATATAATACTATATCTATACCCAGCAAACATCAGGTAACAGTTATATAATTGTTAGTTACAATTTCACTCAACAATATAATTATTATTTAACACACAACAGTTATATAACATGTAACAGTGATATTGTTGAGTAGGAAATTATAACTAACAATTATACAGGGTGTACCTTAAAAAGCTTCCACTAAGCAAATAGCGTTATTCCTGATTAAAAAGTCCTGAATCATTTTTTTCCCCAAGATTCATTAAATAATTAATCAGATTTAAGTATTAAAAAGATTTCTGAAAAGATGAATTGTTTAAAAATTAACACAAAACAGTTTATTTTTTTGCTTATCCAAATCTTCATATGATGATAATGAGGAAGTTTGTTTTTTTATTGGCGTGATCTCATTAATTATTGCTTCAAGCATTATGGAAAAAAATGATTCAGGACTTTTCGACTCGATTTTTAATCAGGAATAACGCTATTTGCTTAGTGGGAGCTTTTTAAGATACACCCTGTATAACTATTACTTGGTGTTTGCTGAGTAACAATAAATACATGTACAGGATAGAAGAATGGATCATGGACTCAACAACTGATCAACAGTCAATTATATCCTGTACAGACAATCTGACCCCCTTTTCTATTTCTTCTCCTTTAATATCGCACTACGCTCATCCTCAGGTGATTCATCTCTGATGACTCCCGTGCCAACAATCTCGTATGTTTACCCAAATCTCGTAGGCTACTGACCGACATATCGCCACACGACATCTCCATATCGAGGATGAGAAGATGCGACTTACCGTCGCGTGTTGCGCGTACGTGGCGGTAACGAAGGGGTTCGCGGACGCCGGCAGCTGTTGAGGGCCGCCGCCGACCGCGGCGGCCGCCGCTGCCGCTGCGCTCGGGTATCTCGTGTAAGGCGGGTAAGCGGCCGCCGCCGCCGCCGCGGCCGCGGCCGCGGCCGCGTGAGGCGCCGTGCTCGCGCGGTACTGCACCGGGTTGCCGCCGCGTGGCCCGCCGCCGGTGTTGCCCTTCAGTCCGTGGCCGCCGCCGCCGCCGCCACCGCCGCCACCGCCGCCGCCGCCGCCGCCTCCGGCGCCCGCGCCGCCCGCGGGTCCTACGCCGATGCTGCCGGCGTTGGCGGCGCCGCCGCCGCCTCCGCCGCCGCCGGCGCCACCCGCGTTGCCGTTGTTGGCGCCTACGTACGCCGGCCTCGGTCCGTTCGTGTTCTGAAAATCCAGAAGATCTTAATCAGTGGAAGAATCTATTTCCATTCATTGCGTGCACATTTATTCATGGTTATATCACAATTTATTATATATCATGTTATATATGTTATTATGCTATATTTTTATTGTTATATATATTATTTATTATATTTATTAAGTATTCATGATATAAATATATATGTAATCAATTTAAAAAAAATAAATGAATAATTTATTAAAAATTATATGTATATGTTAAGAGAGAGAGTTATTAAGTAAAAGATATATATGAAATTAAAAATTATATATATATAATATAAAGTGTCTTTCATGACATAAATAAATTAAGAAAAAATAGTAATAATGAAAAAAATCTATTTCCATTCATTGCATGCATATTTATTCATGGTTATATCATAATTTATTATAATTTATTATAAATGAACAATAATTTATTAAAAATTATATGTATATGTTAAATTATTTAGTAAAAAATACATATGAAATTAAAAAATTATATAAATATAAAGTGTCTTTCATAACATAAATAAATTATGAAAAAATAGTAATAATGAAAAAAATCATGAAAAAATTGTTACAATAATAATAAATTAAAGAACGATGCTATAAAAATTGTAAAATAATGACTTGGATTCTTGAAGATTTTAATTGAATATATCGATTGATGAAGAGAACAGATCACAAATAATTTATATTTATTTTAATATATCTTGTCACGCCATGTGTGTGTGTGTCGTGATAAAAATAAAATACAAAGAAATAAATCAAATAAATTTATCAGTAAATCCTATGTGATTTTTAAGCTGGAATCGACGATGGCTGACGATGCGCTTTTATCATGCGATAGGTCGATCGGTTGTCGTTACCATATAACCTTGTATAGATTAAGAAAGACATTTTTATATTTTCCGAAAATATAATTGTAACAAATTATTACTTTGAATAATTTATCAAGCGCAGATATAATCGCGATGTATTATTCCCTCCCAATGGATAATAAAATATTTTACAAGAGAAAAAAACAGAGATTTTAAGAGATTTTAAAATATTTTTACAGGAGAAAAAAACAGAAACAAAACTGCTGTCCAAAATTAGTTTTTTAACAAGAGTTGCGTGTGCCAATTCTTGTACATATAATTTTCCTAAAGTAAAAGAAAAATAAATGTACTCGATAGAATATTCCTCCCAAGGAAAAAACGAATTAAATAATTTACAAAAAATCATGAAAATTAAAAAAATTACAAATGTCATTAATATCGTGAATACTATGAGTGACATTAAAGGCTGCGTTCGTTTTGACGATTTTAGCGCTGAAAGCATCGCACTATCTTCGTTTGACATTCGATGTGCAATAAAGACAGAATGATGCTCACAGCGCGGAAGCGTACAAAGCGAACGCAGCCTAATTAAACATTATTGCACATTACTTGTGAGATTCAATAATATTTATATTTATATAAAGCGAAATAAATTTGATCTTTCATATCGCATTCGATATGACATGTAAAATGCATAGATATAACGCGAGTAAAACCGCGGGGTAATTAATAGTGTAAGAAAAAAATCCATGTCTCGCTCTTGTTTGTCAGAGTCCAACGAATGACTGCAGCGAGGGGGGGGGAGGGGCCTTCAATATCGATGCAATCGTCGCATCGGTCCCTATCGATTTCCTCGAGCGAAACGGTATACCACTGTTTTAGAAAGCGATCGCGTTTCTCGCCGGCCTCGTCGTAGTTTCGCGCGCGCACAACGTCGATAAGAAGAAAAGAGAGGGAGGGAGAGAGAAAGAGAGACCCCACCCGTTATCGTTTATCAGTGACCTCGCGCGGTCACGCCTCTCCGATAACGAGAAAGAACGACCAGCTCTAGTCGGTCGATCTCCCCCTCCATTTCGTTTGATGCGTCTTTCTCGGTGCATCGAAACGTATCTTTCCAACCAGCATCCGAGACTCTCTTGAATCGAGACCTTCTGCGTATCGATCGTTCAACCATCGGCGCATCACAGTCTTCATCATTGACGCGCAACTCTTCAGTTTTCCACATTATATATATATCTTTGTAAACAAGCCTTAAGGATCGGCGCGTTGCAGTTTTCAGTAATTTTTTGATCTTCGACATTTATGTATCTTTGTAAACAAATCTTAAGGATCGGCGTGTTGCAGTCTTCATAAATTTTTCGATCTTCAACGTTTATATATCTTTGTAAACAAACCTTAAGGATCGGCACGTCTTCATTATTACGTGCAATTTTTCGATTTTCAACATTTATATATTTTTGTAAACAAGCTTTAAGGAAATCCAAATCTACTTAAGATAATTTTATCATTCACGCTCCTCTAGAATTTATAAGAGGCTCTTCATTTTTAATATTCTTTTGCGGAAACGAGAAAAATTGATGGACGGAATTGAATGAATGGAATTCTCGAGGCGGAAATGGCACGATTCGATTAGGACACCCTGTATGCGACTCTCGCTCCGCTGACGCATCAAGGCGACGATGATAGAACCAGATGGTTCGTTCGGATGATTCGGCCATGGTCAGCCATTGACGAGAGAACGACCTAACGTGCGAAATGCACGGCCGTGTCACACCGTGATCCGGTCGGAGAGAAGAGCGACCGACCGGATGTCACTTCCTGCTCACCACGTATGTACGTCTGCGCGTCGCTGTAACGCGAACTCCGTCCGTCCGTCCGTCCGCCCTTTCGTCCTCGTCTCCTTTTTCGAACTCGAGTCCGGTATTTTAACGGTATTCGTCGCACTGCGTTAGCAATGTGTTATCAAGCTACATCGAACGATTTCGCCAGAAATGAGAACTTGTTGAGAGTGCCTACTACTCGGATCTTGTAAAAAAATTCCCAATTCTTCCCGATTTTCCTGGTATTTTTATTTAAGATTCCGGATAAAAGAAATATTTTTAAAATGTTTTGCAATTTTTTTTCTAAAATAAGATCTTTTATTGTATGCGTTTTCATTCATATGATGAAAAAACACAGAGCCACTTGAAGTTTCAAATGAGATGAACAGTTTTCGTTAGATATATTCGTTAGATTAAATATGTTTTTGCATAACGCTTATTTTTTTATCATTAATAATTACAATAGAAAATATGTACTGCATATTCAATATTTTGTTAAGGTATTCAATGTATAAACAGAGACAGATATATATTTATAATGCATTTTAAATATATAATTCACACAAATTTCTAGTTTATCTGTCGGCTGTCTATAATAAGAAGAAAATTCGGCTGTCTATAATAAGAAGAAAATTATTAAAAAATTTAAAAAAAAATTCCCCGAATCCCAAAATGAAATATGTACTGCATATTCAATATTTTGTTAAGATATTTTATGTATAAACAGAGACAGATATATATTCATAATGCATTTTAAAGATATAATTCAAATTTATATCTTATCTGACTGTCTATAAAAGATAAAAATTATCAAAGAATTTTTTAAAAAATTCCCTGAGTTCCAAAATGAAATTCCACTTTTACAGATACAAAAGAAATCCCTAAAAATTCCAATTTTCCATGGATTTTATTCCCAAGAAATAACACTATAGCTCTTTCTTTAAATATACGAATTTTTTAAAATAATATAGAATTTTTTTATATTATATTAATATATTATATGCAATCTATTGATTATATAACATATTAATAAATATATTATTAATAGATTAGATTAGATTAAATAATATATTAATAATATATTAATATTACATAAAATATTGTATGCAATTGATTATATTATAATTATACGATTATATAATTACAAATTATTGTACAATATAACTTCCTAAGTTGTGCAAATGAAATTCGAGTCAATCTCGTCCTATTATCGCTGGTCTAGTAGATCGGAGAGGATATCAGGAGGATGTCTCAGATAACGTATAGGTCCGCTTCTGACCAAATGAGCGCTCAAACGGCGCGCTATTTATGCGCTGTCGTTTCCGTTTTACAATCTTCCGCAAACGAGTCTGCAAGAGAGCGACGAGAGATCTAAGCGAGCGAGCGCGTTTATCATATCACCCGGTATCCCGGTTATCATGAATTATCATAACGCAGGCCGCTAATTGGCCGCGCGCTACGTGTTATATCTTCGCGCTTTCTTCTAAGGACGACGGGGAGAGAGATGGATCCAGGATGTGCGCCACATACCGGAGCGCTGTATCTATTGCGCAGGCGCGATCTCTCTTTTATTTATCTCGGATAGCGTTATGCTCTATTAGCGAGCGGACATGCGATATCCCTTCTGGAATGCGCTTCTTCTCTGCTACTAATTTAGAGAAATTACTCCGTCGTTTTATCGTAAAAATCCTGTGCCGTCCCATCGATCCGAGTTCATTTTAGTCCTTAACGATTCTCATCGCGAATCGCAATATATATATATGTATATATATATATATATATATATTATATAAATTATATATATTAATATATATATTATATAAATTATATATATGAATATAATTATATAAATATAATAATATTGTAAATATATAATTTAGATAACCAAAAATAAACAATAAATTTATGTAATAAATAATAACAAATATATTATGTAATATAAATGTAATATTACAATAATATAAATATAATACTAATGAAAGATATATTTTTAAAACAAAATTAAATTTAAAAAAACATTTGTAGATAAGAAAGTTAATAGAAATTCCAAATATTCTACCCAGGCATAGATATTTACATAAATTTTAATAATACATACATTTTAATAATCCTCTGAATATTCTGTCAATTTTATGATAATGACACTATGTAATCCTGATAATATTTTTTATAATTGTTTATAACTTTTGGTAACTTTAAGTAATACACGTTATGCCATCGACGTCAATTGTAATACAAAATTTTTGGGGCCTGAAAATGGTGTAATTATCGCGTTTAAAATCCGCCAGATGCTATCACGGTGAAATCACTGATGGATGATAATCGCGGACACCCGGTGTGTCGCGGTCGCGGCTATTCTTTC